CTCCTCCATCTTCTCCTCCTCCTCATCCTCCTATTCCCCTATCCCCCTCCTCATCCTCCTCCTCCTCCTCCTCCTCCTCCTCCTCCTCCTCCTCCTCCTCCGTTTCCTCCTCCTCCTCCTCCTCCCACCTCCCCCTCCCCTCCTCCGCCTCCCCCGCGCGAGGGGGGCGGCACCCCGCCGAGGTCGAGGCTCAGCAGCCCCGCGCAGAGGGCGAGGCAGGCGCCGAGCCGCTCCGCCTCTCTGCGGTGGGGGGGTCCGACGAGCTGAGCGGGGGGAGGAACGAGGATCGAGGACGATGTTGCTCCAGTCGTACTCCAGGACTTGCCAGCCTCGAGCGTATCCCTATCCCTAAGATTGACACGCCAAAAGGCGATGACAATCTTAGGGACTCGCCCTCAAAAACTAGAAAGGAATCCCTAAGATTGGCATCGTGATGAGGAGGTGCCCAGCATAGGGATAGGGATATGTTCCAGGCTGGTAAAGGACCACATCCCAGAAATAAGTTCGAGCACCCGGAACAGTGTCAAGGGAGAGTGTCGAAAGAGCGCCGGGCGAGCGTCTCCCGGGGCCCGACGCGCGAAAACCTTCGAGTTCCGGTACACTCTCTGAGTGCTCGTGATGATTCCCAGCGATCCAGGCGACAGCAGGCTGGAACATCAGCAATCAAAGGTCGAGGATCTCAGGGGCCCCAGGATCGAGGATCTCAGGGGCCCCAGGGCTCGAGGGAGATCGAGGGCTCGAGGGAGATCGAGGGTTCCCGAGGGCTCGAGGGTTCCCGAGGGCTCGAGGGCCCGAGGGTCTCAGGCGCGAGGGCACGAGGATCTCAGGGATCGAGGGCTCGAGGATCCCAGGGGCCCCAGGATCGAGGAACTCAGGGGCCCCAGGGCTCGAGGATCGAGGGCTCGAGGGAGATCGAGGGTTCCCGAGGGCTCGAGGGTTCCCGAGGGCCCGAGGGCCCGAGGGTCCCAGGCGCGAGGGCCCGAGAGGAGCGAGGGCGCGAGGGCTCGACGATCCAAGATCGGGGCATCGAAGGATCGAGGCATCGAAGGATCGAGGCATCGAGGGAGGCATCGGAGGATCGAGGCATCGAGGGAGGGATCGAGGGCTCGCAGCTCGAGGGATCGAGGGATCGGGGGGTCGGGGCTTCGCAGGCTCGAGGAGCGGGCGGCGGCGGCCGCCCCCCGGAGGGGGCCCCCGCGGTGCCGCGCCCCGCCGGCGCGGAGAGGGGCCTCCGTGCCTCCTGCGCTGCTGCTGCTTCCCCACAGCAGCGCTTGCAGCACCAGGGTTTTTTCCTTCGGTTACCCTATGCTTCTTCATAGGTCAGGCGTGGAGGGGCTCGCCGCGTCGTCGCGCCGCGACGGGGGGCGGAGCGCCTTCGGCGCGCGGTGGCTGCCCGCGACGGGGTCGACGTGGGGGTGTCGGCGGGGGTGACGCCCCCCCCCGACGCTTATTCAGAAACTCGGAGTAGGGGTTCTTACTTCGGTCAACCATCTCGGGACCCAGCCCGCAAAATCGCCGCCGTGCCGCCCGTCACTGCCTGTTGCTGCCTGTCGCCGCCATCCCCGCCCGTCGTCGCCCATGCCGCCAGTCGCCGCCCGTCGCATCGCATACATTGCACCGCATAGATTGCGTATCAGGCCCGATTCTGTGACAGCCGCGCGCAGGCTTTTACATTATTCCCGAGCCTTGGGCTCTGCCTTGCACGCGGCCTTCCGATTTGCTAAAACGCCCCGAACCCTTCACCATCGTCGTCATCATCGCCATCATCATCGTCTACCTCATTGTCGTCATCATCATCATTATCATTGCCCGCGTCATCACCAACGTCGTCATCATCAACAACACGTCTACAAATATTCATCCTCATCATCATCGTCATCATCATCTTCGTCATCATCGATATCATCGTCATCGTCATCATCATCAGCATCATCACCATCATCATCAGCATCAACATCACCATCATCATCATCGTCACCCACTTTAACCTTACGCGTGGCTCATCATCACCATCACCCATCGACATACTTGAACCGCATAGACTGTACTGCATAGGTTGCACCGCGTAGATTGCACCACATAGAGGGCACCGCATAGATTGCATTACATTGGTTGCACCGCATACACTGCGCCACATTGATTGCACCTCATCGACTGCAAGAGCCTACTGTTTGGGGTACGCGCTGGCAGTACTTTGTTTTGGGTCCAGAGCTTGGGGCATCTCCGCCGCCTGCAGCTTAAGTCTCAATCAGCACGGCGGAACGTACCAGGTTCAGACGTACAGTGGAGGCCCGACCACAAGAAACCTTTCATAACAAAAACTAAACCAAAGCACACCCTGAGACCCCAGAACGGACCCCAGGACGTCCGTGGATTTTTGGTATGGAAACGTCACGCTTTCCATCCCAGAACACACCCAAGACACCCATGGCACCCCCGAGGCGAGCAGGGTGTCTCTTGGCATGGGTCCCCACTGTAAGTTTCAATCAGCGCGGCGGAACGCACCAAACTCAAACGTAATGAGGACTGATAACCACTCTTGCTTGGTTTCCGTGGGTCGGTGGTGGTGCACGGCCGCCCTCTACGCTGTGGAATGATGTCTGGATTTCAACGACGCTATCGCACGATACCTTCACTTTTCGAACCATGGTTGCACGCAACTTCGTTTCCGTGTCTATTGCAAGGAAGCCAGGAGAGCACAGAATCGAATCGATAAGTCGTATCGGCGAACGAAATTAATCGAATCGGCGGAAATCGGCAGCCAAGCTGGGAAGAATCGAATCGGCTGAATTCGACAGTAATACGGCCTCAGTGAGACATCGGAATCCGAATCGGAATCTGAAACCGAATCGAATCGGAATCGGAAACCATCGAACTCGAATCGGATCGGATCGGAGGAATCGAAACGAACCCTGGGACATTCGAGACAATCACAAATACCCGATGCCCTTACGGGTTCTGTGGGCCTTCCGGCCCCTACTGAGGGGGAGACGAGACTCACAGGGGGCGCACCTCGTGGGAGGTCTTCTCGCAAGAGCGACTACGAGGAGACCCACCAACGTCAGCCGAATTGGGAACCGCCAGACCGGATTGGACGGCGCGGCACCACGATCGATCTCACTATCGTTCTCACAATCGGTCTCACAGTCGATATCACGATCGACCTCACTATCGACCTCACTACCGATCTCACTATCGATCTCACTATCGCGCTACCGATGGGGCACCCCCCCGACACCGACAGGGCACCCCGCACCACCCAGACTGGCCCCAAGATCACGCCCGATGAGTCCTTGCTCCAGCACTACCGGCACGCACGCCCGAAATCATCAAACCCGGATCTGCATGGCCATCGCTCGGACGTTAATTTCCTGTGTTTTTTTCGCTTTCGTGCGTGGTTTTTTCGCGAACTGATCAAGGATGCTCCTCGATGGTCCTCGCCGAAGGAACAATGCACACGCCCGAGCGATGCCAAGGGATTCACGAGGGTGAAGCGGAGCTCGACCCCGCCACCCCCCCCATCCGCGTGCTCTGCCCGTGCGTGCGTGCGCCTCCTCCTCCTCCTCCTCCCCCTCCTCCTCCTCCTCCTCCTCCTCCTCCTCCTCCTCCCCTCCCCCTCCTCCTCCCCCCTCCTCTTCCCCCTCCTCCTCCCCCTCCTCCTCCCCCTCCTCCCCCCTCCTCCCCCCTCCTCCCCCGCCGCCGCTGCGGGGTCGAGGGCAGGGCGGCGAAGGCGTCGGGGGCCCCCCCTCTCACGCTTTGCCCCCGTCTCGCCACCGCTCGGACGCCCGTTCCCCGTGCACGTCTCGGCTTCCTGCGCGCAGTTGTTCGCGGGATGGCCCAAAATGCTGGCCGATTTGGACGCCCGAGTTCTCCGGGGTAACTCGGGCCCGGGGTAACTCGGGCTTGAATTCCCGAAAAAACGAACCCGAGTTGTAGCCCTGACTCGAGTTACCCCTGATGATTCGGGGCTCTGGACGCCCGAGTTATCCAGGGTAACTCGGGTCCGGGGTAACTCGGGTTCGGATTCCCGAAAAACGAACCCGAGTTAACCCTGACCCGAGTTACCCCTGATGATTCGGGGCTCTGACCGATGGTCCTTGCCGAGGAGAAGAAGAGCCCTGAACCCTGCCCTGAGCAGGGGCCGACCGTCCTGGCATGCCCATAAGCCTACCACGACATGATCTCAGAACTCCCCCCAACAAAAATTCTACGAACAAGAACAGCGTGCTCAGAACATAAGCCCGATGTGTGAAAACAAGACCGCCTCGGCCAGAACTGTTCGAAGAACATCTCATGCAGACCACAAAAGGTCCTTGGAACTGTCTTTGGTGGGCCGATAGGCGAGCTAGGACGCTTCGCCACTGCTTGATAAGCCCTGACACGTTCCCCCCCCTGACGCATATACTACAAGATTTCTCGGTGCGCGCGTCGCCCCTGGGAGGGCGACGCACACATGGTATGAGCATGTTGGGGTGACGCCGATGGCCCAAAATGCTCCTCGATGGTCCTCGCCGAGAAAAAAGCCCTCAACCTTGCCAAGCACTGCCTGAAATCCGCGACTGTGTCCATCCACTTCCCGTGCTCGGCGATATACTGCTTTTGAAGCAGCAGGTCCTGACCGAACAAAAATGGTCAGCTCGGAGCGGGTGCCAAAGCCCGCCTCATCCTCCCCCTCGTCCTCGTCCTCGTCCTCGTCCTCGTCCTTGCCCTCCTCCTCCTTCCCCCCCTGACGTTGCCCTCGGGGGTGTGCGGTTTTCGCGGGCGCCCCGCCTCGGCGGGGCACGGCGCGGGCACGGGCGAGAAGAACTTGAAGTCCCGCATGCCTCCCAGTTGGCTCTCGCAGGACCTGGCTCGGGGGGGAAGGAGGGGGAGGGGGAGGGGGAGGAGGAGGAGGAGGAGGAGGAGAGAGGAGGAGGAGGAGGAGGAGGAGGAGGAGGAGGAGGAGGAGGAGCAGCAGGAGGCGGGGCGGAGGAGGAGGGGAGGAGGAGGAGGAGGAGGAGGAGGAGGAGGAGGAGGAGGAGGAGGGGGAGGGGGAGGAGGAGAGAGAGAAGGGGGAGGGGGAGGGGGAGGGGAAGGGGGAGGGGGAGGGGGAGGAGGAGGAGGAGGAGGGAGGAGGAGGAGGAGGGAGGAGGAGGAGGAGGAGGAGGAGGAGGAGGAGGAGGAGGAGGAGGAGGAGGAGGAGGAGGGAGGACGAGGAGGAGAAGGAGAAGAAGCAGGAGAAGGAGGAGGAGGAGGAGGGAGGAGGAGGAGGAGGAGAGGGAGGACGAGGAGGAGAAGGAGCAGAAGCAGGAGGAGGAGGAGGAGGAGGAGGAGGAGGAGGAGGAGGAGGAGGGGGAGGGGGGGACGAGGAGGAGGAGGAGGAGAGGGAGGGGGAGGGGGAGGACGAGGAGGACGAGGAGGAGGAGGAGGAGGAGGAGGAGGAGGAGGCGCCGCCGCCTCAGCGAGCTGTCCCGACTGTGGGGATGGGCGCGTGCCGCCGACCCCAGCTGGACATTTCGACGGAGCCCTGCTCGCGATTAGACTGCTCTCGGCCAGAACACTGCAGAAGATGCCACCTGCCACATGCTGCATCATAGCTTCTTGTCTGGAAGTGCGCACATCTGAAGGGGCCAAATAAACACACACAAATAAAACTATTCCCCATATTTTCCAATTTTTCCTGGATTTTTGTCTTCCCTCCCAATCCCCATACTTTCCTATATTTTCCTGGCAGTCGACGATTAATTGTGTCTGTGTGTGTTTTTTTCCCCTCCTGAACCGGTCGTCAGCCAGCCTCTTTCGCGTACGCTTCGGCGGCTTTGCCCTCTACCCAGGTCTGGGGGGGGATTCTGAACGCCCCATAACTCCAGCGTGTTTGTGAAGCCGGCGCGACCCCCTAATTCGGGGTTTGGACTCTTACACAGCATATTTGAGCAATTCTGAGCTACTTCATATGCAAAGCAATGCAACGCATTGTTTGGCATTGCTTGGAATCGCTGCTTGGTATTGCTTGGAATCGTTGCTTGGCATTGCCGAACGCTGCATTGAACTGCCTCTCGTTGCGAGGCGTTGCTCTTTCAATTGATTTGCATTGCTTCGGGGGGCTTGCATTGCATGACATTGTTTCATTGGTTTGCATTGCGTGGCGTTGCTTGCCATTGTTTGAGACACATCGGCGTTATTTGGCATAGCTTGGAATCGATTGCTGGACAGTGCCTCCGAGGAGCCCCGAACAACGCCGAGGGACCTTGAGGAACCCTGGGCAATCCCATGGAAGCCCGAGCAACGCCGGGAGCGAAGGACCCAGCACCCACCAGTTTCTTCCACAAAAAACTGAGAGACCACTGTGAAAACGGGTAATGGGGAAAAACAATCCGACGCAAGATGAAATCCATACGGCGGGTTCGTGCTAAGACGAAGTCAGGACGAGGGCAAACTCGGGTGAGGGTAAATCGAGAATCTCTGAAATCTGGCGGCTCTGGAGGATGTCTCGGGCGCCGCGGACTTGTAAGAGTGTTCAGGAACGCTCTGAGAGCGTTCCGGAACACTCTGGAACAGGTTTATCTTCGCCATAGCCCCACCCGACGTGCGGCGTCGGCGAGCGCAAAAGTTTTTGACACCGCGTCGATCGCTCAACCTTGAATCGATCCCAGCCCGGTTCGCTCAAGGATGGATTCCGTCGGGACCAGTGGCATCGCGCCGCAGAGTTCAACCTTGAACGCCGTCGCCGGCGTCGCCGGCGCGCCAACCCCGCATGAACCTACCGCATGTCGTTTGCATACGGGTAATCGTCCTCATCGCCCTTGTGGTTGTGATCGCTGTGGTTGCGAAGGAGGGGGAGGACTGGGGTGGATGCGGAGAAGGAGGAGTAAGAGCACAACAGAGGAGGGGGAGGAGGATCAGAGGATGAAAGATCTAGCTTCCGGAGCGTCAGGGGAGAAAACGACATGTCTGCATTGCGAAACCGCCAGGGGCCAGAACGCGACGACGGTGCCACGTGTCGGAGCACCAGGCGTCAACAATGGCGACAGGTCATTTGTCCTTGGCGCCGTCGTCGCCGTCGTCGCCACGATTACAATGATGACGACGACGATTGACAACGAGAATAATGATGATGATAAGGTGATGATTACAATGGCGGTCATGGTCATGGTGATCGTCATGATGGCGTCGACGTCATGCTGATCGTGATGATGGCGACAAGAGAATGATGATGAGGATGATGATCAGGGATACCGACTCTGACGACGACGAAGGTTGAAAGGATGAGGATGAAGTACCTGCGTGGGGTTCGTGGTCATTCGAAATATCCTCATATTTTGATCTTGAAGATCCAGGCGGCCCAATGTTCAAACAACCTGTGTCTCGTTACGGGTAGTTCGATGGCCACCTCGGATCAAAACACAAGGTGGGTGCCCTAGTGGGAAGGCGTCGGCTCGAGACTTCCTTGCAAGTGATTCATAGACGAGGCTCCCGCTCGAGACTTCCTCACAAACTGCTCATGAATATGCTCTCGTCATCGTGATGGAGAACAAGAAGGTCATGATACCGACAACGACTGATGAAAATGATGACGATTAACATGGGGAGAGGAGGATGAGGAGGAGACCATGGTTCTTATGATGATGGTGATGATGGTGGTGCTGCTGATGATGATGCTGATGATGGTCATGCGCATTGATGAGTCTGGCACTTGTTCGTGATTCTGACCACGACTGACGATGGTGATGCAGACCGCGCTCAGTAAAATCCTCTCCTCAGCCGCCGCTTACAGGCTGGCCATCGCTCGGACGTCCATTTCCTTTTTTTCTTGGTTTCGTGCGTGTTTTTTTCCGCCAAGTGATCATGGATGCTCCTCGATGGTCCTCGCCGAAGGAAAAATGCACACGTCCGAGCGATGCCAAGCAGGTGCGAGCGAGCTCCGTTCACTTCGGCTCGTAGTAGATGTGCAGCTCGATGCCGTCCGGGCCCCAGGGGCGCAGCTTGGTGTGGTCCGCGATCTTGCCGGAGATTGGCTTGCTCTCGTCCTCCTTCAGGTAGACGTTGAAGTCGCTGTCGAGGAGGAAGTCCTGGTCAATCTCGAAGATCTTCCTGAACTTGGTGAGGCACGACTCCACCGTGGTGCTCTCGTCGATGATCACGCGATAGCGGCCGCCGATCGAGGGAGCGGTGAGCATGATCTCGGACCCGGCCTGTCTGGCCACGCGGTCACCGCGAGCAGCCGTCTGGGCCCTTGTGCCGGCAAAGGCCGGCGAGAGGGTCGCGGATAGCAGCCACGCGGCCGCCGCGGCGAGGACAAGGGCACCGAAGCTGGAGCGCGCCATCGCTTCACCGGGAGAAGCGGTGCTGTTAGCGACCGTCGGGCGTGTCAGGCTGGAACCCTGGCAAACGAGCCAAAAAAATGCTGGAGCCCAAGTTGCCACGGACGACGGTGATGGGGAGGATGATGATGATGACGACGACGATGATGGTGAGAGTGAGCATTCTGGTTACTGCGCGGAGGGGCGAGAGAAAACACTCTTCCCACTTAGCAGATTGGGAACAATATAACCTCCATTTTCGGCCGTTGGTGGGCCCTTGCAGGGCCCTGGGACTATCGCAAACCTAATCGGGATGGACAGCTTGCTCTGGGGGAAAAAATTGGGCATGCCCGGGACACCGTATCAACCAAATTGAGATGTCCGATTATGGGGCTCCGGGGCCTGTTCGAACACGGCACGCTTCGCCCGTGAACCCAACCTGGCTGTAGGAGGGTCGGGTCAGACGCCAAGGAAGGGGGTAACTAATTACAGTGGAGGCCAGGTCACAAGAAACCTTCCACAAGAAACCCAACCCTGAGCCCCCAGGACGTCCGTTGATTATCGACAGCCAAGAAGCCCAAGGCACCCTGGAGGCGAGCAGGGTGTTTCTTGGCAGGGGTCTCCACTGCAGGGCAGGCGAGCCCAATATCGAATCGACAAGTCGGATCGGCGATCAAACTGAAACGGATCGGCGAACATCGGCAGCCGAGTCGGGAGAACTCAACTCGGCGGCAATCGGCAACCTAGTACGCCTCTAGTAAGGAATCGGAACCCAAATCGGAGCCCGAAATCGAATCGAATCGGAACAGGCTAGTCTGCCTCCAGTAAGGAATCGGAACCCACGTCGGAACCCGAAATCGAATCGAATCGGAATCGGAAACCACCGAAATCGGATCGAATGGAATTTGAGGAACGGAACTCCGACGTCGAATCGCATAGGAATGGGAAGCTTTTGAAATCTTTTGAAATCGAATCGAATCGCATCGGGGGGATCGAAAGGAGCCCTGCTGTACGGGGAGGGGGGGTAGCAAAACTCGGCTGCGTGCATGGCTTTGGCTCTCCTGGCGCCTCTCGCCGCGCCTCTCGCGGCGCTACACCACACGGTGTCAAAGGCAAGGGCCAGCTGGCGGAGCCAGGCTGCGGCAGATCCCCAATCGTTATGTAAAACAACAATATGGGGGCGATGTTTCGACAATTGTTGATCACTTTTGGAATATGGTTTGACTATTTTTGTAGGGGGACATGCCCGACCTAACCAGTCCCCAGGAGAGCCCAGAATCAGATCGACACGTCGGATGGGCGATCGACGCGAATCGGATCGGCGGAAATCGGCAGCCGAGTCGGGAAAAGTCGGATCGGTGGGGATTGGCAAGCTATAACAGACCGCCCTGGAGAAAATGGGGCCCAGAACGGAATCCGACGTCGAATCGACTCGGAATCGGAAGCCTTCGAAATCGAATCGAATCGAATCGGAGGAATCGAAATCCGACGTCGAATCGAATCGGAATCCGACGTCGAATCGAATCGGAGGAATCGGAATCCGACGTCGAATCGAATCGGAATCGGAAGCCTTTGAAACCGAATCGAATCGAATCGGAGGAATCGACATGAGCCCCCGATCCGATCCCTCGTGCCCCCGACCTTCCTGGGGTCTTCCAGGGGAGCGGGCGCTCTGAGCGCCGCTTCCGCCTGCCTGGGGAGAGAGGGTCGTGGCTCGTGGGGATGATTTGGGTGCGCACTACCAGAGACCAGGCGTATTGAAAAAAACACAACGGGGTTTTTTCGCTATTTTTGGCCTCGAGGGGCCCTCGCCGGGCCCCAGGACCGTCAACAAAACGACTCGGGGTGGAAAGCCGGTCCTGGGGAAGGGGCCGAGGCTTCCAGGATCTCCGCACTGAAAAGAGCACGGCATCGGATCTCTGGGTTCCTGGGGGGGGCGGTCACCCTGACCTTCCAAAGAGCTATCTTTTAGCACCGGAGACCTAAAAACCAAAAAAGCCGAGCGAAACAGCCTAAAATCAAGACGTATAGAATAGCTTTGGAATAGGTGTTTAATTAAGTCGAGTGCTACTTTTTAGCCCTCCTGGAAGGTCAGGGGGGGGGGGGCCGCGGTCCGTGTCGGGAGCGGCCAAGAGGGGGGGTGTCCAAGAGGGGGGGGTGCAAATCATGACCGGCGGCATGTGCGCGGCCCAGCGGGGGGGCCAGGGACGTATCAAAATAAGAAGAGGCGCCATGAAATCTGGGGAGATATCCTGGCCCCCGCCATGATATCCACCCCCCCCCTAGTCATCACCCCCCCTCTTTTCCGCCCCCGATCCATGGGGGGAGGGGCGCGCCTCTCGGGCCGGGCAGGCCCCCTCCTGGGCCCGCAGGGGCCCCCCTGCAGGGCCCCCCTGCGGTGCCCCGAAGGGCCCCTGTGCTGCAGCCCTCGCTGCCCCTGCCGTCCATCGCCCCCTCCCCTCCTATCGCGAAGGGGCCCTGGGACACACACAAATGAAAATGCATACAAATAAAAGAACTCCCCATAGTTTCCCCTATTTTTCTGGGTTTTTGTCTTCCCCCCCACTAGGGACGCCGCCGACCCTAGACCTCCAACGCACTGGAGAGGACAAACACACACACACACACACACACACACACACCAAATTTGCAACGTTCCCAGCCTCCTGGGGGGCCCTCGAAGAACTCCAAGGCCTTCAACAAGAACGGCTCGGGATGACGAACACTGCCCCAGGAAAACTTTCGGTCGGGACTTCCGTGCACCAGGCATTCAAAATAAGGGAACTTCTGAGAGGTCTTCGTCAGAACGACGCAGTGCTATTAAGCCAGGTGGAGGTCATTTAGGACAGATGCATTCAACTTTTAAGCCCAGGACCAAGCCCGAGCAGGTAGGATTTCGCGGGAGTGAACAGAATTAATGTGGTGTATGCCGGATTCGACTAGTTTTCGGCCGCGGGTATGCCAGCGCCGATGCCGAGTGTGTTAAACTCCGAGGCGTTGCATCCTAACATTAGGTCGGGCATGTCCTCCTACAGGCAGATTTCGGTAGACCAATAGAATTTGATCACACAACGCTCAACACATATTCAAAAAATAGTGTAAACATCGTCCCCACACTTTTTCTTTACTACTTTTACATACTCTTCCTGCAGAGGGACGTGCCCGACTTACACGCCAGCCGGAAGAAGTAGGAAAAAACATGAAGTAGGAAGGCGTTGGAAGTAGATTGGGCTTCTACCCGCCCCCTGAAGAGGAGGAAATAAGGAAAACCGCTCGACTCTTCAAGTAGGAGGGCGCCTGCAGTAGATTAAGATTTGGGCATCCAAAAATTCCTACTTTCCACGACCGGCTTGTAATCCTAACGGATCCACGCAGCCGGCGTCGCTCGAACCTGGAGATCGAGCTGCCGCTGAGCCGACCGCGCCCGCCCCGGGCACACGGAATTGGTGGATGGACGACGACATACAGTCGGGGCGTTGACCTAAGGAACCCTACATAAGGAACGAGGCCCCGTTTTTTCCACAAGTTAAACGTCGATTTCCTATCGAAAACATAAGGCAAACCTGAGGCAAGCTGTGAAACACTTAAGGAACGCGGAGCCCCTCCCCAACGAAAAGGGTTCCTTCTTCAGGGCCCCGACTGTATCTCGACAGGCACCACACTCGCCGATCCTAGGCGCGGGATCGGCCTGGCGGTGCCCAGCGCTGGCGGATCGCGGCTGGCGCCCCCAACGGCCTGCTGATGCCCTTTTTTCAACCTGGCTCTTATGTGTGCCCTGCCTGGCAGGACCTACCTCGCAGCACTGCGTGTGGGCAGTGAGCCTGGGGCGCTGCGAGCGCTGCAGAGCTCAAACGGCCACAAGTACGGATGATGTCAACACACGTACCCAACCCACCAGCCCACCCCCAAGTCCAACCCAATGTAAGCGTAGACAAGCAAACTTGCCCCCCCCCCTCCGACCTGCGAAACAGGGCCTTCACGACTGCGCAGTCCTCCGGCTCCGAGAAGTGCTTCGAGTCCTCGCGAGAGCGCTGCCGCGGGCCAGTGTCCCTGACCTTCGCCCCCAGGGATTCCGACAGGGCCCAGCAATAGCAGTCGCCGTAGTGGTAGTAGTAGTGGTAATAGTAGTCGCCGTAGTAGTAGTAGTAGTAGTAGTAGTAGTAGTAGTAGTAGTAGTAGTCGTAGTAGTCGTAGTAGTCGTAGTAGTAGTAGTAGTAGTAGTAGTAGTAGTAGTAGTAGTAGTGGTAGTGGTAGTGGTAGTGGTAGTGGTAGTGTGTAAAATAGTCGTAGTCGTAGTCGTAGTAGTAGTAGTATGTAGTAAAAAAGAATATCAGTAGTAGTAGCAGTAGTAGTAGTAGTAGTAGTAGTAGTAGTAGTAGTAGTAGTAGTAGTAGTAGTAGTAGTAGTAGTAGTAGTAGTAGTAGTAGTAGTAGTAGTAGTAGTAGTAGTAGTAGTAGTAGTAGTAGTAGTAGTAGTAGTAGTAGTAATAGTTGTAATGCCAGTAGTAATCGTACGAGGCGTAGTAAGAGTTGTAGTAGCTGTAACAATCGTAGTCGTAGTCGTGGTAGTAGTACAAGTAGTCGCTGTAGTCGTAATCGTAGTAAGTAGTAGTAGTGGTGGTAGTAGTAGTAGTAGTAGTGGTAGTAACAGTAGTGGTGGTAGTAATTTTAGTATTAGTAGTAATAGCCGTAGTAGTAGCAGTAAAAGTAGGAATGGAAGTAGTAGTCGTAGTAGTCGTAGAAGTAATAGTAGTAATAGTACTGGTAGTGGTAGTAGTGGTAGTCGTAGTAGTAGAAGTAGTAGCAGCAGTAGTAGCAGTAAGTAGTACATGTTAAGTAGAAACAAAAAATGATAAGTATTAAGTCGTAAGTCGTACGTAGTAAGTAGTAAGTAGTAAGTAGTGAGTAGTAAGTAGTAGTAGTAGTCGTACGTAGTAAGTAGTGAGTAGCCAGTAGTAGGTAGTACGTAGTAGTAGTAGTAGTGGTAGTAGTAGTAGTAGTAGTGATAGTAGTAGTAGTAGTAGTAGTAGTAGTAGAAGTAGTAGTAGTAGTAGTCGTAGTGATAGTAGTAGTAGTAGTAGTAGTAGTAGCAGTAGTAGTAGTAGTAGTAGTAGTAGTAGTAGTAGTAGTAGTAGTACGGATCGTAGTAGTAGTATAGGTAGTAGTAGTGGTAGTAGTATCCGCATGTAGGGGTAGGAGTGGCAATAGTAGTAGATGGAATACGATTACTAGTAGTAGACGTAGTAAGATGAGTCGTCGTAATAGTAGTCGTCGTCGCTGTAGTAGTAACAGGAACCGTGGAAGTGAGCAGTTGTAGTAGCAGTAGTAGTAGTAGTAGTAGTAGTAGTACAACTAGCAATCGCACTCGTCGCAATAGGAGCTGTAGTAGAAATATCAGTACTCTTATTATTAATAGTAGTAGTCGTAATACGACTAGTAGTAGTAGTCGTAGTCGTAGTCGTAGTCGTAGTAGTAGTAGTAGTAGTAGTAGTAGTAGTAGTAGTAGTAGTAGTAGTAGTAATAGTAGTAGTAGCAGGAGTAGTAGTAGTAGTAGTAGTAGTAGTAGTAGATGTAGTAGTAGTAGTAGTATGAGCCTTCGTAGTAGTAGAAGTAATAATAATAAACACAGCAATGGTACTTGTACTCGTGGTACAAATAGTAATAGCAATAAGTAGCATCAAGTGATAGTAATGGAAATAGTGGTTGTAGCCAGGGCAATGGTGCCATACTGGTTTCCTGCATGAATAATTCGCTGAGCAATTAATGCTGCAGCTGCATTGTAGGATGCTACGGTACACGATTACTATTGGAGGGCATGCTACAGCTGCGACGAAGCTGGCGCGCACGACGCCTGGAGCAGGAGGTCTGGGCCAGGAAGGAGAACATAGCAAGGAACTTGATACAGAATTTCCAGGGGTAGAACAAAATCCCGTTTACTTCTTTACGGCGCCAGGAGGTCTGGGCCAGGAAGAAACAAGGAGTTATAAAGGAATGCGATAAGGAACCTTCCAGGGTTAGAAAGGAATTTCGTGGAGGTCTGGGCCAGGAAAGAAAAATAAGAGTTAGAAAGGAATTCGATGAGGGATTTCCTGAATTAGAAGGGGATTTCCTTTTGTTCCGACGCCAGGAGGTCTGGGCCAGGGGAGAACCCCCCAACAAAAAGGAGTCATAAAGAATATGATGAGGAAATTCCAGAGATCGAGCAGGATTTCGTTTTTTGTTTACGACGCCAGGTCTGGGTCAGGAAGACCAAAAAAAGATTCAGAAAGGCATTGGGTAAGGAATTTCCAGAGTTAGCAAGTTTCTTAATAAAAAAGCGGCGCCAGGAGGTGTGGGCCAAGAAAGAGGAATAGAGGTATAAAGGGATGTGATACGGAGTTGCCTAAGTTAGAAACGAACTTGCTTGTTTTGCTTTTGTTGGCGACGCCAGGAAGTCTGGGCCAGGAAGGAAACAAGGAGTTAGAAAGAGATTGGGTAGGGAATTTCCAAGGAGTTAGAACGGATTTTTTTTATTTTTTTTTTGCGACGCCGGGGGGTCTTTGCCAGGAAGGAAAAGAAGGCGTTTGAACGGCATTTCATAAGGAATTCCCAGAATTAGAAAAACATGTCGTCTTGTTCTTTTGCATTACGACGCCAGGGGGTCTGGGCCAGGAAGAATAAAGGAGTTAGACAGGAAATTGACAAGGAATTGCCAAACTTTGAAAGGCTGTTCGTTTTCTGGTTCGTTTGCACAGCGCCGGGAGGTCCCCAGAAAAGGAAAAAATGGATAGAAAGTAATTTGATGAGGAAACTCCTGGGATAGAAAGGAATTCCGCTTTTTGTTAACGTTGCCATGAGGTCTGGGCCAGGAAGGCTAAAAGGAGATAGAAAGGAAGTGGGCAGGGAATTTCCAGAGGTAGAAAAAGAATTTCTTCGGTGGTTTACGACGCCAAGTCTGGGCCAGGAAGGAAACAAAGGAATTAGAAAGGAACGTAATAAGGAATTTCGAAAGGCTATGACAGGAATTTCGTTTCTTGTTCACGACGCGAGGAAGTCTGGGCCAGAATAATAAAACAAGTGAGGAATGTGTCAAGGCATTTCCAGAGTCAGAAAATAATTTCGCTTTTTCAAGGTTTTGCACGGCGCTGGCAGGTCTGGGCCAGAAAGGTAAACAAGAATTAGAACATACTTTGATAAGAAATTCCCTGGCTCAGAAAAGCATTCAATGCTTTGTTCACGCCGCCGGGAGGTCTGGGCGAGGGATGGAAAAAAGAGTGAAGTATAAAAGGAATTTGACAAGTAACCCCACCCAAAAAAAAACGACGCGAGGAGGTCTGAGCCGGGAAGACAACGAAGAGTCAGAAGGGAATGTGATATGGAATTTCCAAGAGTTAGAAAGGACTTGTTTTTTTGTTTACGGCGACGGGGAGCCTGTGCCAGGAAGGAAAAAAGAGTTAGAAAAGATTTCGACAAAGAAATCCCAAGGTTAGATCCGCTTTTTACAAAAAGAAGAAAACCTATTAGAAAGTAATGTGATAAAGAATTGCCAGACTTAGAAAATGTTTCGCCCTTTCTGTTTTTGTTCACGGCGCCAGGTGGTCTGTGTCTGGGAGAAGAAAAAAGAGCTACAAAGGAATGTGATAAGGAATTCCCAAATTTGGAAAGGTTGTTGCTATCTATTTTGGGGGAAAAGACTCACGACTTTGCATTTTAAAGCGACGCCAGGGGATCTGGGCTAGGGACGGAAAAACAGAGCTAGATAAGAATTCGATGAGGAATTGCCAGAATTTGACAGGAATTTCGTCTTTTGCAGGTGGTCTGGGCCAGGAATGTTGACAAAAAACGGTTAAGGAGTTTGATGCGGAATTTCCAAATTAGAAAGGAATTTCGTTTTTTGGTTCGACGCCAGGAGGTCTGGGCCAGGGAAAAATTAGTCATAAAGGAAGTTGGTATGGAATGTCCAGAATTAGAAAGGAAGTTTGCATGTCAGAGAGAATTCTGAAGCTCTGAGACAATCGAATATCAATGGCCCGGGAAGCGCCGGGGCCAGGAAGGGAAAAAGGATTTAGGAAGGAATGTGACGATGAATTTCCAGAGTTTGAAAGGAATTTCGAAAACCAGAGAGAATGCTGAATCTCAGAGACAACTGGAATTGCGCGAGAAGCGCCAAGGCAAGGACGGGAACAAGGAGTCATAAAGAATATGATGCGGAATTCCCAAAGTTAAAAAGGAATTTTGAATGCCGGATAGAATTCTGAATCTCAGGGACAATCGAATCAGAACTACCGAGAAGCACCCGGGCCAAGAGGGGAAAAACGATTTAGAAAAGAATGTAATGAGGAATTTCCAGAATTAAACAAAAAACCATCCCGGAGAGAAAACTGAATCTCAGAAGCAATCGAGTCAGAACTGCCCGAGAAGCGCCAGGGCCAGGAAGGGCAAATGGAATTAGGAAAGGAATTGGAGAAAATCTCCAGAGTTAGAAAGGACTTTTGAATGCCAGAGATGAGTTCTGAATCTCCGACACACTCGAATCAGAATTGCCCGAGAGGCGCCAGGGCCAGGAAGTAAAAAAGGACTTATAAAGGGTTTAGGCAAGGAGTTCCCGGAGCTAGAAAGGAATTTTGGCAAGGAGTTCTACAGGAATCTGATGAGGAGTTTCCAGAGGTAGAATGGAATTTCGAATGCCAAAGGGGATGCAGAATCACAGAGACAATCGGACCATAACTGCCCGAAGGGCTCCAGGACCAGGAGAGGCCAAAGGACTCCGACAGGAGTGTGATAAGAAATTCCCAGAGTCGGACGGGACTTCCGAATGCCGGAGAGAATTCTGAATCTCAGAGAAAATCGAATCAGAATTGCCTGAGAGGCGCCAGTGCCTGGAAGGGAACATGGAGCCAGAAAAGAATCTGGCGTGGAATGTCGGGCCACCAGTTGCTAGCCTGGTAGGCTAGGGCCGACATCGGAGCTAGACATCGGGGCCGCTGAGGGCCTCCTCCTGCGGCCCCCCCGCCGCTCAGCGACGTGGATTTCGCACGCTCGGGCGCCTGGGGAAGCCCAAGTAGAGGTCACTGGGCGGCGGAGTTCCTCCTGCGGCCTGAATCTTATGCATTACCGTTGCGGGAAGTGGGGGGCTCGGGGGGGGGCACCATGCGGTAGTCCTCGGGGCAGCGAGCGCAATGATACGAACAGGGTGCGAACAATAGGGATAAGAGCAGCAGCAAGAGTAATACGAATAACCACAGTGATGATGATATAGCAATGCCGCTACTCATGATAAAAAGATAACAGCTACGATGGGAAATTGTCCCAGTGGATAATAGGCCCGGCCACGCCGCCCCCCCCCCACCTCCGACTAAAGTGTCTTGGCCGAAGACAATCAGCACCGGGAGTGGCGGGACGGTTGGGTTTAGCCCACAGGGGCCTGGGTCGAAAAGCCGTGGGATCGACACAAGAGAACATGGTCTTGCGCGCGATAACATAGCGACCTGACGCGGTGGCTTGCGCGGGCCGCCAGCGTGGCACGCTGCATTAGAAGCAACGGTGCTCACGCGGGACCTTTCGCAGAAATCTTACTCGCGAGTGTCCGCACAGTCAGACCACGGTCCCTGCGTCACCCAAGTGGGGAAAACGTGGGCCAGGAGCACTCCTCGTGACCCAAAAGGGGGTCCAGCTAGAAAGGGATGGTGCAATAGATTCGGGGCACTGGCACTGCAGATGCATTGCGCCAGAGAACTGTATTGAACTCTGTGCTCTGAAAATTACTGCACTGCAAACGAACATCCAGCAGTACACTTGCGCCCCGGAATGTACTGTACACCCCGGATCGACTGCAACCCCACACAATCTTTGTACCAAATCTATTGCACCCCCCCCGCGTCGCTGGACCCACGTTGGGCCAACCAAAAACACCCTTCTGCCACGAAGGAACCGTGGCCTGGCGGAAACGAAAGAGCCCTAAGGTCCCTCCGCATGGGGCCAGTCCATCACCCTGAGCCGTGGTCTGACAGCCCTCCGGCCCTCCGGGAGGACCCAGGAGCCTGCAAACGTGAAGTCGAAACGGCGAAACGCCCCCATGTCCATTCTATGCCAGGAGCCCTTTCCTTCATGCGGAACCTCTGCGCAGGCCTCCCACATGGGATCGGAGCACATGGGGTCGGAGGATGGCGCCGCATCGCCGATGCACCGGCGATGCGGCTCGATGTGGAGGCTGATGTTCTCCACGCCGATGGCGCCAATGCATCGCCGACGTCGCCGATGCATCGACGGTGCATCACCGAGGCATCTCGGATATACATCGCCGATGTATCGGTGATGCGGCGCGATCCTCCGACCATATCTACTCGGACCCCATGCAGGAGGCCTCTAAAACCGCGCCGTTGCCCCCCCCCCCCCCCCGCGAAGTCCACCATCTCGTCGAAATCGTTCGGGGCGACTGGCCATGCCGCCGGCAGGGCCCGAGCGCCCGCGCCGTCCAGCCGCAGCGCCGCGTGCCACCGCGCCTCCGACCAGAAACGGCCGCTCATCTGTCCGGCGCAGCAACGCTCGAAGCTGGGCCAGCCAGAGTCCTCTCGCAGGCCTAGAGGTTGACACCAACACCAAGATCGGCGGTGTGCCTCCACCGAGGGAAGAGGATCCCGATCTCGGTGATGGTGGTAATATTCTGGCTTCCAAGGTGACCGAACTATTGCCACCAACACCGAAATCCAGGATCCTCTTTCCCCTGTGGAGGCAAACCCCTGTGTTGGTGTTGGTGCCCATTTCCAGGCCTCCAATCCTCGTGCCCAGCGAGTCGGGAGCCCCCGCGCTCGCGCGGGTGCTGCGTGAGCAAGAGCACGGTCGTTCCTGCTGCTGGGGCTGCTGCTCCTCCTCCCGCTGCGTGCGGTGACGGCCCCTCGCCACCTCGACCGCCTCGCCCCCCTCGACGTCGCAGTCCACCTGCTCAACCCGCCTACAAACCCATCGTTATCGCCCTCCCCCTCCAGAACCCACCTCCTCCTCCTCCTCCTCCTCCTCCTCGTCATCATCATCATCCTCCTCATTCCTCCATGTTGTTCATTATCCTTCCTCCCTTGCTCACCCCTCCTTCCGCCTCCCTCATCAGACCCCTCCTTCTGATGACAGACGACGCAACACACTAAGTCCATCGACATCCTCCTATTTCGATCATGGGGGAGGGCGCAACCTTTTGCAACCCCGCGCAAAAATCTGATCACAAATCCTTCCGTGGTCCGCCACGACCTCCACCAAATCACATATGCAACGGTCCCGGCCGCCACGCGGGTCCTGGGCACAGAATCGACCTGGCCAGCATCGGCAGGACTAGGTAACTAGCCAGTGTATCTCGAACTGGCTCGGACCTTCGGGACCGCCGTCCTCCAAAGAGGAAGGCATACCAAAAATCACCGTCCCCCGAGACGGCTCCGTCCGTCGTGGGTGAGCAAGCCGAAAGACAATCGCCTCCCCCATCGTTCTCCTCCTGGTGGGAAACGAAGAGAAACGAAGGGACGCCCTGTATGTCGGAGGAGAACGAGCAAGATGGATGGGGGCTGGAGGAGGTTTTGATGAAACCGCAAGTCCATCGTCTCCCTCCTCGTCATCTTTGTCGACCCCTGGAAGACGGGGAGGAAGATGGTGAAAGGGACGACCCACGGGTCGGAGGCGAAGGATGAGGAGGTTGGAAGAGGAACCACACGGCGAGGCCCTAGGCGAGGGGAAAGGAAAAAAGGTTGGCATAGGTTGGAGAAGGACATCCCACTTCCGAATGGCACCTTTCCCCGCGACTGCTGTTTCATGTCGGGTCGGGTTTTCACGGCCCGGGAGCCCTGCGAAGTCCCATCTGGACCGAAAGCTGCAAAACAACATCCGCACTGCTTTCCTCAAAACGCTGAATATAAAAAATACATGCTTTGACTCCCCACTCCGCTGGGGCGGGCATGGCCTCCGCCTCTAACGTGGTGGGCACGGGCGGAGTAGCAATCGCTATAGCGCCTGGAATGCTAGAAGCATCTGCAGCAGTAGAAGCAAAAAGAAAAGTAGTAATAGTAGTCGTCGTAGTAGTAGTAGTAGTAGTAGTAGTAGTAGTAGTAGTAGTAGCAGTAGTAGTAGTAGTAGTAGTAGTAGTAGTAGTAGTGGGGAAGTAGTAGGAGTAGTCGTAGAAGTAATAGTTAGTAATACTGGTGGTGGTCGTAAAAAAAGTAAAAATCATAACAACACTCATATTCGCAATCGTAGTAATTGTAACTGCAGTCGCGGTGATCAAGCACGCGGTAAACAATGATAGTCGTCTTAGCAGTAGTAGAAATAGTACGCATAGAAGCAACAGTCGTGGCAATAGCAAGTCGTAGCAGAGATCGTAATGATAAGAGTAGTAGTAGTGGTAGTAGTAGTAGTAGTAGTAGTAGTAGTAGTAGTAGTAGTAGTAGTAGTAGTAGTAGTAATTGTAATAGTAGACGTAATAATATAAATCAGAGTAGTAGCAATACAGAGATATTGGTACAGTAAACAGTCGAAATATCAATACACATAATAATCGTAATACTACGACTCGTGGCAGCCAGTCGTAGTAATCGTAGTTGTACAACTGGCACTCGCAATGGTAGTCGTGGTCGTAAAAGCAGTAGTCGCCGAAGTATCAAGTGTATTCTTGTTTCTGATTGTAGAAGTAAGAATAATAACATAGCAAAAGCCGTAGTCGCAGTACTGCCAGTCATTCAAACAATAAGACTACGATCCGTAACCGTAGTAATGGTGGTGGTAGTGGTAGCAGTCGTAGCAGTCGTAGCATAGGTAGTCGCAGTAGTGGCGGTAGTAGTGGCAACACTGACAACAATCGTGGTAATGATAGCGGTGGTGGTCGTAGCAAAACCAATCGAATAAATAGTGGTAGTAGGTAGTAATATTAGTCGTCGTAGTAGTGGGTAGTAGTAGTAGTAGTAGTAGTAGTAGTAGTAGTAGTAGTAGTAGTAGTAGTAGTAGTAGTAGTAGTAGTAGTGGTAGTAGTAGTAGTAGTAGTAGTAGTAGTAGTAGTAGTAGTAGTAGTAGTAGGTAGTATAGGTAGTAGTAGTTTGAGGGAATTTCTGTGGAACTCACGTCATCCTCACCCCCGGCGCGAAGAGCACGAGCCCAGAGCGGCCTCCGGCACCGTTTCCGGACGGATCCGCTGGATCCGCTGGATCCGCTGGATCCGCTGGATCCGGTGACGAATCCCAAACCGGCGCCCTCGCCTGAGACATCCTCACAAAACGGGCCCCGGGGGGGATGCCCAGAGGAGCCCAGAGCGGCCTCCGGCACCGTTTCCGGACGGATCCGCTGGATCCGCTGGATCCGGTGACGAATCCCAAACCGGCGCCCTCGCCTGAGAATCCTCACAAAACGGGCCCCGGGGGGGATGCCCAGAGGAGCCCAGAGCGGCCTCCGGCACCGTTTCCGGACGATCCGCTGGATCCGCTGGATCCGCTGGATCCGGTGACGAATCCCAAACCGGCGCCCTCGCTTGAGACATCCTCACAAAACCGGCCCCGGGGGAGGTGCCCAGAGGAGCCCAGAGCGGCCT